CAGGCGGGTCTCGAACCCACGGGCTCAGGCAATCCACTCACCTCAGCCTCCCAAAGGCGCGGGATTACAGGATTACACTTATTTTTAAAAACGACTTGGAGGCATTGTTTAGTAGTTGCATGGTGACATTTTGGGTACTGGACCTTGCAATATCACCTAATTAGTTTGTTTCTATATTTTAGATATTTAGATCAGATAATCTATAGGTGTGTCTGTGAACTGGTGTTGTATAGGAGTAATTTCTATATGTATTTTCCAAGCTACTAAGATCATCCCCATTTTGTTACCTGAATACTTTAAATAAGCATGATTTACATTTCATCCTGGATTGATATGTTTAATAATACAACATATTACCCTCATGTTCTGATTTCATCCTCATCCATTATCAATTTTTTCAACTAGGTGCTAATGTTTAGAGTCTTGCTAATCAAACCATGTCTTGGACTAGCAACATCAGTATCACTTGTAAACTTAATATATAATAAATGTGGTTCAGCAAATCAGTGGGGAAAAGAAAATGGGTTCAACCATTTAGCTTGAACAACTTGTTTCACCTCCTTGGGCTTCTGTTATGATATTTTGGGGGAGAGGGATGGAGGGGTTGAGAGATCTTTCAGTAGTCTTGCTGTTTTCATTGTTTGTGAGAGACCTCCCCAAGTTGATTTGCAAATACTACATTAGGCTAGACTTGGTGACTCAAGCCTGTAATCCTAGCACTTTTGGAGGCCGAGGTGGGGGGATTGCCTGAGCCCACGGATTGGAGAACAGCCTAGGCAACTTGGCGAGACCTCATTTCTACAATAAATCAAAAAATTAGCTGGGCGTGGTAGCGTGCGCCTGTAGTTCTGGCTACTTGGAAAGCTGAGGAGAAAGGATCGCCTGAGCCCAACGGGTCAAGGCTTCAGTGGCCTTGAGAGTACCACTGCACTCCAGCCTGGCGACAGAGTGAGACTTCAACTCAAAAAAAAAAAAGGAAGGACTTCAGATGCTTTAAAGACCTACATGTGAAACATCAAACTAAGAAATCAACAGGATAGCAGAAGAGACTATTTTAATACCAAGAAGTGGGGAATGACTTATTTTACATTTCAAAAATACAAATTGTAAGTTTAAAAAATTGATGAAGTGGCCAGGCGTGGTGGCTCAGCCTGTAATCCCAGCACTTTGGATTGCCTGAGCCCAGAGGTTCGAGACCAGCCTGGGCAACTTGGTGAACCCTCATCTCTACAATAAATCAAAGAATAAGCCGGCGTGCTTCTGTAGTTCCAGCTACTTGGAAGCCTGAGGCGGAAGGATTAACTGAGCCCAGCAGGTCAAGGCTGCAGTGACCGTGAGCATGCCACTGCACTCCAGCCTGGGTGACAAGAGTGAGAATCCAACTCAGAAAAAAAAATTGATGAAGTTAATTACACCAAAATAAAGACTTGGTTTTTACGTAGACACCAGACAAAGTTAACAAATAGGTGACAAATCGGGGAAAAAGTATTTGAAATATCTAAATATTTTTTTAAATTTTTAAAAATTTAATTTTAAAATGTGCTCACTTAGAATGTATGATCAGCTGAAACAATGTAACTCTCAGCCACAATATCTTCCATATGTGTAGGTTTGCTGAGTTTATGATCCATCATTTAATCTTTACAGTAGTTGAAATTATTATCTACATTTATAGATGAGAAAAAGTTGAGGTTCAGAGATGTACATGATTTGTTTGTTCAAGGTCACATAACTTGTAAGTGGCAGTTCTGAGGCCCAACATCTTCTCCCTGTATCCTATCGACTATCGTACTTATCTAACTGCAAAACCAGTATTATTTTAAAATTAATCACTGATCTGTATTTACTTATGCTACTGAATTTTTGTGTATAAGAAAAGGGAGAGAAATCACTAAGAGAGTTTAGGGAGTTAAGAGATTTGAGATAAATTATATATGAAAAGACTGAGTCAGCTTTTCTGCAATTGAAAAAAGGTGTTTTTTTGGTTTTGTTTCGTTTTGGTTTTTTGCCTACTTTCCTGTGTCAGTGAAGAGAATACCGAATGTGATACCTGTCTTTCTGACTTCCTCAGAGTCAGCTAGTATTGGTAGGCTTCAGATAAAAAAACTGGGTAGCAGTCCCACCTCCTGTCCCCATCCTTCCTTTGATCTGCTGTGCTGAAGACAATAACAAACCTGTGGTTTCCTCCTTGAGCACTGTAACCCTTATAGTCTTTCAACAAGTGCATCCTCAGAATAGAATTCTCTTGACCTTGAAAAAGACCAAAGACTATTCAAAGTGAAATATTTAGCCATTAGCATGCATTACTTAACTCTCCTTTTGTGTCAAAATGCTACAGCTAACCCACAAATGTAGGTTACTTTTTCTTCTTCCTTTTAATTTATGAATAATTAAGCTTTAAGATCAACTTTTGATCTTTACATTATCATTACGCTTTTTCTTGCCAAGTCGAAATGCCTTTGGACTTCTGGTATACCTGTTTTGGTATTAAAGAAAAAGTAGGAGTATATAATACAGGAAATTTATTGTTTCCCTTTCTACCCCAAGAAAAATATCAAACATCCCTTCCCCCAAGAAAAACAATTTGAAAGAGCTGTGATTAGAGATTAAATTAAGAGCAGATGGCTGTTAGAGATAAAATAGCAAAAGATGAAGTTCAACCATCTGTTTTGCAAAGGCAACTCTCAGCTAGTTCGATTAGTACTTTTTATACATATCAAGTTCTTACTTCCCAGTTCTGGTTTTAACCAGCAGTGCTTTACTCCTAAACCTCTTGGACTCTTTTCTATTGCTGTAATTGGTAAATGCGTTAGTGGCTCTAAGACTTGAAATGTAGTGGACTTTTTCATAGTACAGTGAATATGTTTATTGTATGGTACTGAACGAAGACATTAGCTACCGATGGCACCAGACAGCAGTTCTGTGAATGGGATGATAGCCCTAATATTGTCACAAGCAACAAGTAAGGGCATCTGTTTTTAATCCTTCCTACGATAAAGGCGTTTTAAGGCACAGTTCAGACCTAACTAATATCAGGTGTGGAGACTTTACTAAGTGAGGCTGGGTAGTTGAGGTTGGTGGAGAAGGAGTGACACCATATGTTAACAGAGAAGAATTACAAGGCTTAAATAGGTCGGTTTTGAATTTCTGAATAGCATTTATATGTCTGCCTCTTAAAAAAAAATGCTTTCCAATTTCCATAGGTAAATATGTGCTGGACAACATTCTCTATATCTGTGATTTTAGTCTACTTGCCTGCCACAGTTTTATGAATACTGGGAGAAGCCATCAAACTGCAACGACACAGATAAAGGATAATGCATTACTTAACAGCAGCAGCAGCAGCAGCAGCAGAGTATCAGCATTTTTGTGCCAGCTCCCTGAACCCCAATTCCCACAGCATGATGTGAAGAAGGCCAGTTGATATCTGCATGCGCATTGGGTTGAATCATAAGAAAGGAACAGTGAACTCAGGAAATCCAAATATTTAGTAATGGGCAGTAAAATGGGCACTTTTGCTCCCAAAGTGGACACTACCTCTGTCTTTAAGGTGTTTCCTACACAAACAAAGGAACAAGGGAAGACAGTGCCAACCTTTGTAAGACACACAGAAACATGAGCACCCATGGAGAATTCTCTCTCAACATGGTTGGGATTTTATTTTAATTAAACTTTATTAATGAACATCCCTCTCCAACATTAAAGGTTTTTAAAAATACAATTTAAATGATAAAGAACCTAATTTCACAAATGTTGTGTATTAGTCATTTATTTCTGTAACTATGGCCTGAATGTTTGTGTCCTCCCATAATTCATGCAGGAGCCTAATACCTAATGTGGTATTTGGAGAGGGGGCCTTTGGGAGATAATTAGGTTGAGATGATGTCACAAAGCTGGAGCCCTCATGATGAGATTAGTACCTTTATGAAGAGAGGAAGAGACCAGAGCCCTCTCTCTCTGCCATGGGAGGACATAGCAATAATGCAGCCATCTGTAAGCCAGAAAAAAAGCCAGAGCCCTCACCAGGAACTTAATTGACTGGCAGCTTGATCATAGACTTCCTAGCCTCCAGA